TTTCTCAAGAAATTGGTATCTAATTTTTAGAGGATTAACTGTGAACGCTATCAAATGGACATAGGAAAATATACGAAACTATCGTACACATCACACCTACTGCATATTCATTGAGTGGAATCTTCTTAACTCGCGAGGTTTTCGCGAGATAACTGTAGAGATCAACATTACACTCTATGTACTATTATAGATTATTAAAAGGCTATAAAAATCACCTGCACACAAAAAATAAACTGAAAATGTCTTTTCTTTAGCATCAGTGAGCTGTGAAATAAGCCGATTTGTCATTGAATGACGCAGTTTTCAAACTATCAATACTCCTAATGGTCGTGTTGTCATCGTGGTATTAAATAATGAGGTCAGCTTGGCGTGATTGCGTTATTTTTTTTTAATTTTCTGAATCGTGATTAGCCTGTTCACCATGCTCATAAAACGCTTGTTCTTAAAGTTTATGGACCATATGATGCAACACGACCATCCTCATAAACTGAAGAAATCAACCTGAAAATACGTTAACAGGCTGTTTCAAGTTCCATAATCAATTTAAAAACAGTTTTGGTCCCAGATTTCTCCTTGCAACCTATTGTTTGCCAACAATTTAATCTATCGGCCCGCAGCACACCCATTATGTATGAATCTTTAAATCTGCTTCACACAGTTCTCGGCACAATATATCAATTCTGCACTAAGAGTTCGTCAGGGTATGTGTGCCATAGACAGAGGTATCAGTTGATCATAACAGGATATATCCCACTGCCATCAGACTGACACACATTTATCGAATGATATGCACTCACTGGCATATAGGAGCATGGTGGGCGAGTTGTCTAAGGCGCCAGGCGAGTGGTCCAGCGAGGTTGAGGTGTCGGGATCGAGCCCACCTGTGACCGGGTGTAAAAACCTTGGAGTCAACTTTGTGTGCAGACTCTTTCAGTGTTGTCACAACCTCTAGTGTACAGTACACAACCCTGTGCACTTCAAAGAACCCACGGATATGTTGATATATGACCAGATGGTGGCCACATGAATACGTGCAAACACCTAGTTGCGGGTACAGCAACGTGCAGTGAACTTGAAGTACTGTGACTATGTGTCCCAGTCCACCCAGCTGTGAATGGGTACCTCGTTAGGATGAGAAAGCCACAATAACTCGGTGCGCTTAGTGGCTGCAAGAGTTGTATGCTCCCGAGGGAGTTGAGATTGATAATACGATGTGCCGTTTGGATTGACATCCAATGATCGAGGGGAAAAATACCAGCGCCTTGAGCATGTACGAGTTGCGTGGATACATGTATGTGCACTTTATAATAATAAATAAATAATAATCCTATGATAATAGCGAGTGAGGGCCCGATGCGGAAAATGACTGACAAATTGAACCCCCACGTGTTTTACTTCTGCAATGTTCAATTACATATGAATAAACAACAGCAAATTAAACCATTTTTTCTCGAAAAAAGTCTAAATTAAGAAACTTCGGCGACTCAGGAAGAGCTTAGTACCATACATTTTTACTTTTATTCTTGATCTATGAAATCGATGTATGAAGAACTTGCCCGTGTTCAAATATACTCATAGAAACGAATAAGGGAGCACATGCAAGTACAAGTGTTCCTTTATTTATTTCCGGAATTTCACTCACAGTGCAATACATACCTTGTGAAGAACCCTGAAAAAGAATAAAGGAACACTAATCTTGTGCTTTCATGTGTTCCTTATTCGTTTCCATGAGTATATTATCAATACGCTTCACGAACAAACGGACAAATTGTTTCCTGATTTGAGATATTCAAACTTGAAATGAAGAAACATGTGATAAGTTCTATCATGGTTTGTATTAGGTTTTCTTGATTTCATAAATAACCCATAGTCCATAATCATTTCTGAAAGCGACCTCTGCATACGTTGTCGTTTCAGACATATGTATTGATATAGCTGTTTGCCAGAGCATGTCACTCCATCTGAGATTACCACAGATTATATAGTGGAACCTTGATAACCTGAACCTGATTAATCCAGCAACCACACATGTTGGTTAGGTCATGACACAACGTTCATGACAAGCTGTTTCATTTATGTGGACGTACAGGGCGGTGTTTTGATCTTGTCCGCTAAAATCACTCCTGTTTTGATTAGCTAGAACCGCGCGTTTAGCGCGAAGCGGGGGATATAGTATTAAGTACGTACGAATTGGAATATCTTAAGAATCGTTGACTAGAATCTTTTCATACTTGGTACCTAGGTTCATCACAGCATGCGAAAGGGCCCGGTCAAAGGCCCCGATTGGTGAGCTTGACCTTCATTTCAAGGTCATAAGAGGACTTTAACGTTTTACTCTTGTCAGCGAGATACCCCAAGAACCATTAACTGGATTGTCTTCATATTTGACACCAGGCTTCATCTCGGGAAGGCGCATGGCCCGGTCGATTTTGGTGACCTTTACTTAATTTTCAAGGTCATAGAGACACTTTGAAGATTTCAGCATGTTAACCTGCATGTTAAGCTTGTCAGCGAGATATCTCAAGAACAATTCTCTGGATGTTCTTCATATTTGACACCGAGCTTCATCTAGGGTATGCACAGGGCCCAGTTGATTGTGGTGATCTTCACGTAATTGTCAAGGTCACGGCGACACTTTGAAGATTTCAGCTTGTTAACCTACATGTTAAGCTTGTCAGCGAGATAGCTCAAGAACCATTCACGTGATTTTCTTCATATATGACACCAAGCTTCATCTAGGGAAGGCGTAGGGCCCAGTCGATTTTGGGGACCTTCACGTAATTTTCAAGGTTACGGCGACACTTTGAAGATTCCAGCATGGTAAGATTGTCAGCAAGATATCTCAAGAACGGTTCACTGGATTTTCTTCATAGACTTTCAAGACTTCTCTGGAATGTTTTTTGATAAGCAATTTCTTTATTACTATTTTTTTGCATATTTCATACACCAATGACATTCATGTCAATGTCAAAGTGAGTCTTGAATATATTACTACGACCTTGATAATTTGCGGCGGGGATTATGCCACCTTAGTGACAACTGCTTGTTCTACAAAATATGGCGACTGACCCGATTATGACGGACAATAGAATTGATGATATGTATCAACCCTGTGCAGTGTCAGACAACTAGTACCAGTTCAGGCAATCTGAGAATGGTGAGTGCTGCCGTTGAATCTCTTGCAAATATCTGGTTTCATCACTGAGTTTCAGTGATCAGTTCTTATAATCGTCCCCGTTATTTTGCCTGTAACGCGCAGTGGTACCTGGTTCGGCTGGCTCTTATAGGGTATTGTCACACTACAGTCATGCGTAGTCCTTTGGGTATGCCAGTTTTTACACTTCAGTAAACATAACATTGACCTCGAGAAACTCTCTACTAACGTAAGCAAAGAAAACGTACGCCTCCCTTTGATACCATACAGGCGTCAGAGGTCCTTTGGTGATCTAAATTTGTTTGCTGACAAGCAATAGCCCCTCTGTAAATTATTTATTGTTATGTATTGTAAAGGATGCATTTCTAGCTATAAATGCAGATTTGTGATGGCCGAGTTCTCTAAATGTCATTTTTCGACATTTAAATATATTTCTAAAATAGACTCTTCAGTAGTCAAACTGGTTGCCAATGTGCCTCCCTCAGCCCCTCATTCACCTGGTCTTGTGTCGTTCATCAGACAACGCTTCAGGCAATATACAACCTTAAGCAACACTGAAATCCCTGTACGGTACAGTGACCATCAGTCCCGGTAATTATGTTCAGGATCAATAAGACTCTGGGCTGCTTCGGCTGTGATAAGCTAGATAATACATGTCGTTTTAGCTTTCGTATATATGAAGACTATCGTGTAATTGCCCTGATCGGGACGGTCTAAGTCTATAAATCACGCCCTGACGCTATCACTCAACATCGACTTAAGTCAGATGACGTGCCCTGCCAATTCAGGAATCGTCATCGTATCACGGTCTTCCATGATGGTTTGGGAGGAAAGTCCGCAGGCCGTTTACCAATTTGGTGCTACCATGCAAGCAACGAGACATTCCAGCGATCATCATCACAACGAATACCTTTTCACACACTCATACACAACGCACATGCCAATAACTCACGTTTAAAGTATGCATGTTGTACAGATATGTCGTGTAGATGCATTTGTATTATCTCTCAATATGATTGAAAACTCGAGGGTTACTCGTCAGTTGAGTACTGTCGCTCTGGTAAGCGTGCATATGCGGTGCTTTTAGCGATGAGAAATGGTCATTAGAAACACAAGGGTGGTAGCTAATGACAACCCAAAAGTGTGGCGTTGGAAATTAGGATCGGTTTATCGAACAGCATTGTAACCTCCTCTAACATATCGGGGGTTTTTTAAATTACATCAGTTATTGTTAATATTATAGGTCTAGATCTTACTTTAGGTTAAGCAAAACAATCCCGAATAGTTCCTGTTTGTAATATGGTACCTGGTAGCTGTAAGTTCAATGCTGAATGAACCAATTCCACACTCAGGGCGTGGCACATTGTTCACATTATTATCCATCCATATTGGTGCCACAGGTGTGATTATGTATAGCCCGACAACTTTAATGTTGTTAAACATCGTGAAACAACGTTCTCAAAAACAGTAAAATGTGTGGCCAGTTATTAAAATATTTTATTATTTACCGAGCAAATGTCTGTATTGTTGTTTAGCCACAGATTTGCGAAACTTTTGCAAAACATCGATGGATTGTGTGTTTATAACTGAAAATTGAAACACAAGATATAAACTATAAAGAATTGACTTAAAACTGTGAACAAGTGAATCAGTGTGTGAATCAACCAGTTATGTACCACCCACAAAACTGACTGAAAGATATGACGTCAAAAAAAGACTACCAATTACACCCACAATAGATAATCATAATGATTCCCGCAATGGGGAATTTGGACGAAGATAAAGAATGTATTTAACACGCTTCCAAATGTTTAAAGAAAATAATACCACAGCAAATAACACTCACCAGATAACTTTTTAAGTCCAAATGGACCTGCGCGTTATCCTGAAATCCATCACATGTACTTTGCACTGGCTGCAAGAAAACTTCCCAGCAGTGATCCTTTATTGGAACCTGATGCCAACAGCCCACGTTGTAGGGAGCCTGCAGCTTCTCACTCAACTACACCGTCATCATTGATCGTTGCTCATGACGCCACGGTTCCATCTTTGGTTCCTAATGCGTCGCGTACATCTGACACATGCGCACTATTCTCGTCTTGTTTCGCACATTTGGACACTGGCTTCGCCACGTGTATGCCTAACAGTTGTTAGACAAAGAACAGTTGCCTCCCGTGAGAGAAGAGTCTGCACGCTGAAGTGCGCACCGGATCAACAAGAGATGTACCGTTGCTAGAAACTGTGGGATTTATCAAATGCTCTCGTTATGCTGTAAAGAAAATGTTTTGAGTATATGTTGATCTATCACATTGTGAGATTTATTATTACACTACTGACAGAAAGAAAGGTTACAAATGATCTGAATGTAGCTATCGTTGAAATGCATATTTACAGTATCATGGCGTAGTATTTACCAAAGCCAAAGCAGAAGGGTACACAATGCACTTGAGCGCAACACACGTTTAAAATGCCTTTTACAATATTTCAGTGGACATAGTGGCGAACTACGAATCCGAATAAAACTGAGATGTGTGTGTGTGCGCATGTGTGTGTGGACGTTAATATCACAGGTTGCCCGCATGTTTGACACATGAAAAAGTGAGACAAGAGTACCGTCACGCATGTGGGGTTGCAATGAGACGTGGGCGTGACAGAGTATTATAAGATATAATAAGTATAACCTGAACATGATTGTCTCCTTCCAACAATTGCTCCTTATTCAAATCTGCTCTTTTTACAAAAGCAGTAAGGCGAATGTCAGCATCCACCATAAACGTTATAAAAACTGCTTACTGTAGCTGGAAAGGAAGCAAAGCGTAAAGTGAAGGGAGGGGCCCTAACTGCTTATTACTTGTGGGAGAGGTTTGGAATGAACATTGTTTACAGACGAATCAAGTCAGTGAGTATGGTTTTACGCCGCTTTTAACAATAATCCAGCAATATTACAATGGGGACACCAGAAATAGGTTTCACACATTGTACCCATGTAGGGACTCGGGTCCCCTGAGTGACGAGCAAACGCTTTAACCAGGCTAGGCTACCCAGGCGAATTACGATTTTGCCTTGGATTCACAGATGCCAGAACACGTTGTCTGCGACGAAACGGAGAGTGATGCGCCAGGGCAACGATTCTTGACGTTGCTCGGTGTGGCGAAGGTAGACTCTTGTTTTGGATTGGTAACACACTTGAAAATCGTACTAATTTTGTTCTTGTAAATGGACATTTAACTGACAATGATGACGAAATTATGTTTGTTCCATTGCCTAGGACTATCGGCAAAATATTTCAAAAGCAAGATGCCAATACCACATGGTCCTCAGGATGTCATTGTGCCCTGACATTCCCGAGTAGAGTAGGGCATCTTTGGGATGTTCTCGAACACACGAAATACATCTATTCCATAAATTTTGATGTAAATAGCTAAATATTTTGGAAAACGTTAGCATATGATTATTATCGGAGATTGTTAGTGGCTCTTGATGGGTGTTGTACTGTAAGTACTGTAAATTATTAATATCACAGGTTTTACATCAGTATATATGTAGATTTTAGATAAATAGCTAACCTTGTGTACAGTCGCAATCAGCTGACGGGATGGTTGACACTCAGCTGTGAAACCGTGCAGGAAGCAGACGTACACACGATTCCTAGTATGGTTGCTTTGGCTGCTAGCGACCTCAAACCCTATTTTAATATTATGTTGTTAATTAAGAGTTTACTATTTTACATGCTGTTAAACTAGTTTTAAATAATATATGATAATCTAGTTGTTACTTTGACCTTTGTCGACAAGATTTTATACCATTTGAATATATCTATTAATTGTCGTATTTTCTCTCGTCACGATATGGCTGAAATACTGCCGATGTGACCTCACTCACGGACCCACACACCACACACGCACTCACTCACTCACTCACCAGCTATGGTTGCCCAACTGGGGGTAGCAAAATGTCAAAATGTCAGGCAATAGGAAGGGCAACCATACACAAGGTAATAAACAGTATGATATCAAAGTGCCGTGCCTGTTAACCGCACATGCTGAGCACTCCGGATATTGTTCTACACGCCTGAAATTACCTGTACAGACATTAATCTCCATTACGCCTTCACAATCATCCCGCCAGATCCCTGCTTTTGTCAGTCATGCTTAATTCCACTGTTGATTACATGTCCGGTAATTTCCGTAGCGATCATGAAATTCTGAATTGGGTTAAGACACTAAGTTTAACAGTGATTAATCTACATTACGGTATGTACGCTCAATGTGGGAGGAGGGAACCAACGGATGCCGGCCTTTATTGTTTATTATTTTGTGGTGCCTACTAGTGCGTAAGGTGAGTGAGTGAGTTTAGGTTTACGCCACTTGTAGTATTGCTAAAATTCCCTCAGTAGCACGGCGGGGGAAAACGGAAATAAGCTTCACAAATTGTACCCATGTGGGGAATCGAACCCGAGTCTTCGGCGTGGCGAGCCAACGCTTTAACCACTAGGCTACCCAAATGCCACAAGGAGTTAACAAACCAAGCAAAATATTTAGCCAATCTCGAATCTTCGAGAACGAACAGTGAACTCAAGCCACTTAGATAACTCGCCGATTTTAATGATGTGAGCATGTCAAGTATATGTTCATTATCTAAGCAATATAGCCATGAAAAAGCCTAATGACATGTATTGTAAAAGGGTACAATGTGTGTGAAGCCCATTTCTGGTGATATTGCTGGAATGTTGCAAAATGCGGCAAAAACCCACTCACTCACTCGCAAAAGCCAGTTCTTCATGCACCAATTAGGAATATAAATGTGGTAGGAATTAAATTACTTTATTATTACATGTGCATGTTACCACATGCTCGTGCATTCGACTGGTTATTTGGTATTACGAATGCGTCCTTAATATCCCAGTATCTAGAACCAATCCACACGTGTATTATACTGATGCACAACCATCATTATTTCATGTGCTGTACTTGCGTCTTGGGAAATATAACCTCCCCTTGGCATGTAAGAAATGTTATATTTGGGATTACACATTCTCAGTATCTCCCCGAGGCATGTCAGATGCACGTGATTGATTAACGTTGAAATCGATCGACCCAATGCCGAGCTGATGTATGTAATTGTGAAAAAAATCAACTGCTGAATAGTCCAAACTCATGTACAGGTGACTCCGACTTTTTTGCTGCCATGGTAACGGAATGTTTTGCAGACTAACAACCTTCGCCAAGCTCTTTAGCGCAAGAGGGCTGTCAGAATGAGTTTAGCAAGTCCGGATGAACGTGGTTAAAGCGTTGGCTCGTCGACTCAGCAATATTCCAGATGGCGGCGGTTCGATAACAATGGCTATTAACCCAATTCTGGACTCGCCCTTTCAACCACTTTATCTGTCTGGGCCTAGATTTTCGAAGCTCTCTTAGCGCTAAGATAGTCGTATTATTACAGCTTTCTGTTGTAAATTTACGAATTCAAATATTTCCTGATTGTTTAAATGTACTTCATACTTCTTTTTTCCGGTTTTTCGTGCGACTGATTATACATGTGAAACTCATTTATCTACACTGTTGAACATAATTACATTAGTAACACATGGTAAGGCTTACTGAATTGTGGAACATTTCCCATTTCCTAGTATTATTTTGACCATTAGTGGACACTGAAATATGCTTATCCAATCCAATGTCGAAGAATTGATTAATATGAACTGGACCTTAATGTATTGATAAGACAGCTTTAATATTTTTAAACGCCTATCACATAAATTACATCGCTCATTAAACTTGCATTTCACACACAACAGCACACTTGTTTGAATAAGTTAATTATGACAGAGTTGATAGGGCGTAAAGCATATTATTTCAATCATTAAAACACACCTACAGCATTTCTGTTTCGGACCACACCTGCAATAATATTATAGGTGACTGAATAAATGAATAGGAACAATGCATTGCTGACAATAAACATAATCAGATGAATATGTGAAGAGCAGAACATTTTCCGTAAAGTTGGCGAAGGTAACCGTAAAATATTTTTAAGATTGTTAAACATTTCGTTTTTTAAATCTTTTTAAAACGCAATATCAAAAGGTTATGAAATACCAGCCTGCAGTCAGTAACGTTTGGATAGATAATCATCTGGGTGTCCTTCGATAGTAAATATATCAACACGGGTCGATAGAAGTCCTGTACAAAGAGCCTTGCCGAGGAATGTTTAACTTTTCTCAACGAGAGATGACATTTTTATATCAAAGGACACTAGGGTGAGATTATATTCATCATCCAAAATCATTTTTCAACTTTTTCAGTTTGTGAACAATCATATGTGTAACAATCATGAAAGTCTTGTGTGTAAAATGTACTGCTGACGAGCCACAGTAACAGAGACGGGTGATGCCATGGCAACTAGTGCCATCACAATGGTAAAACACTGAAATGTCCCTGAGACCATGCGACCCAAAGAGCGCTGAACATTGTAGCTCCTAAGCAAGTATTGTATAATTCCCAGTCTCTGCAATCCTCCGTTTTGGGCCATCCTCAAAACGTTTCTTCCATAACTGTCCTCTTCCATAAACTCAACATAGTTAACTTTGCAACATTTCTGTGCATTGTGGTACATACATACATGTAACTTATTACAACCCGATCATCCTGTTAGTTTTAATGTTAAGAGCACTCGGTTCTTTCAATTACGGTTTATACATGTTAAGAGCAAAACAAACTTGTTAAGTTGTCACATTATGTTCCACTGGCGACATCTGCATCCTTAACGCATAAAAATACACGATCAATGGATGATTGAGGAAGTGTAGAAGGATCAAAGATGTCAGATGTTGGGCAAGTCATAAAGAACAGACCAGTTCTGGAGGAAGCAATCAGTTAATCAACAGCATGTGTTGGCTGTGAAGTCGCCCACGTGCTACCGCTGTTGACAGTCATCGGTTGCGTCTAATATCCCCCAAAACGTCTCATTCTTTTCATTTTCAGCCTGCGAGCTTGCAAGTATATTTGTGTTATGGAAGTAATTAGTCTTTATCGTGTCATCAATGTTGCTATGTTTTCGCATCCGTCAACAGTATTTGCATGTTGAGTGTGTATTTAGGCATGGAGACAAGATTTAATCTGTATCTTCAACCAAAATCCTTCAAAGTCAGGTTTTTATGCGACTGATCCGGATGTTTACGTTCCAAACCAAAATAACAGCTCTGAATGTAAAAAGACGAAATTACAATTGAACTTCTTTCAGACA